ATGTAAGTACCAGCAGTTGATGAACTAGCCACCGACGTCCATCCCCTCCTGGCAAATGGAATCCTCTGTATGTTCATTTGATTTGTATAAAATTGCTTCATTGGGAGGCAAAAGTAATCGGAAAAAGATGAGGGCTCATCGCTCCACCAATGAGAATTAATTTCCCTCCTGGCTAATGGAATATTTAATGAGGTCGTGCAGGGCTTCGGGGATGGCTGGGACTGGGGGGGAGGGGGGAGAGAGAGAGAGAGAGAGAGAGAGAGAGAGAGAGAGAGAGAGAGAGAGAGAGAGAGAAACTCTTCGTCTTTTCGGGTAGTTTCAACGTTTAAGTCATAAATATAAGGGCACGTCTTTCTTCCTGGTACGAATGACCTCTTTCTGCCTTGGTAGAGAGGACTTAAAATGGTGAACTTACAGCATAATCCCACTTTCTAACAATATTCAGTCAGTATCGTTAACATTATTTTGTTTTTTGTCTGTCACGGTTGACCCGTGTATGTGGCGATCTCAAAACGTAAAGAAGTCGTTTATCTTATAGCTTTTTCACACTTATGATACCATAACAGTTTTGGTTGTCGGTACGGTAACCTAAAAAAAAAATCTTATTTCAAATCTTTCACATGGAAGGATTTATACAACTGTTAATTAAGCTACGATTTCACATAAATCAACACTGACAAAGGGAAAACTTCAATAGTCGGAATCAACCCATTTTTGTTCTGTGCTGTCAAGACAAATTTATACATGTTTAGTGACAAAGTTTGGAATAAAGTGATTCAACAGTAATGCTCAAAATGACAACTTTGTTTTTTAGATGGACAGCCGGCCTACATCTGGGAAACACGATAAAGGACATTTTTACATAGGTAGAAAGAAGGGATCAAAGACATAAAAATGGTTTAAATTGCGAGTAAAATTAGTCGGAGGTATAAGGAATGCGTGTGGGCGTGGGCTCCATCTCTCTCTCTCTCTCAGCTCCATCTCTGCGCGCCCGCACGCGTGTGTGAGTGTTTGTTTGTGTATGTGTGTGAGTGAGTATATGTGCGTGTGTCTTTGTGTGAGCTCATAGACGATGCTAAAAGGGGGTGGTGGAGGAAACTGCTCTGTGGAAGTGTTTTCTTCCTCAAAGTTTTGTACAAAACTTAACTGTACACAAGTCCTGTAGTGTAAACCATTCAGAAACTACTTGGCACTCCAGACCTCGTGGAGGCCAATCGATATCCTGGGCTCTCTCTCTATATGTACCGCCCTTATCGGTGCGGCTTCTTCGTACTTCCACCGATGACTTCCACCATCACACTCCACTCGACGGTGTTTCACGGGGTTCTCTACTCCAAATTTCTCCCCAATGAGTTGAGAACAGTCTTTGTGCGTTCTTGATCTTATAAATGGA